CTCAATCTTCTCAGGGTTGGCTTTGATATCGCGTTGGTTGACCATGTATCCTAAGAATTTGCCGGAAGCCACTCCGAAGGCGTACTTCAGGGGATTAAGCTTCATCATATATCTTCTCAAAATTTGGAAGGTGCTGTTGAGGTGTTTTATGTGGTCCCTAGCTTCCAATCTCTTTACCAGCATGTCGTCTACGTAGGCCTCCATTGTCTTCCCGATGAGGTCCACAAACATTTTGTTGACGAGCCTTTGATATGTTGCTCCGACATTTTTCAACCCGAAAAGCATCATCTTGTAGCAGTAAATGCCTCGGTCTGTGATGAAAGATGTGTGTTCCTCATCGGCCGGGTGCATGAGAATTTGATTGTAGCCGAAGTATGCTTCCATGAAGTTCAATAACTCATGCCCAGCCATGGAGTCTACTAGTTGGTCAATCCTTAGAAGTGGAAAGCTGTCCTTTGGGCAAGCTTTGTTGATGTTAGTGAAATTGATGCACACACTCCACTTGCCGTTGTGCTTCTTCACTAAAACTGGATTGGAGACCCATCTCGGATAGGTGGCTTCCCTGATGAAGCCATTCTAGATGAGCTTCTGAACTTCTTCTTTCAGGGCCTCGTACCTCTCAAGATTGAGGGCTCTCGTTTTTTGTCTATATGGGGCAACCTTAGGATCAATTTTCAGGTGGTGGCAACTGACCTTGGGGTCTATGCCTATCATATCCTCATGCTTCCAAGCAAAGATATCGAGGTTCCTACTTAGGAAATCCTTGAGCTTTTCTTTCACAGTGCTGGACAAGCCCTTGCCCACCTTCAATAATTTGGATGGGTCTCGGGGGTCCACCAAGAAGCTCTCAAGTTCCTCAAATGGGGATACTTGAGGTTTGTGTTCAATTATGCAAGGATCAATTTCATCGATGACCGATACTTTCGGATTGGGTGGTGCGTCAATCATTTCGACATCTTCCGGTTCGGCGGGAGCATCACCTGGGACATCAGCCATGACTACGTCGACGATAATTACATGGACGTCCCAGGGTTCTACCTTTCTGATGGAGCTTAGATAACACTCTCTTGAGCCTCTTTGGTCGTCTCTCATCGTTGCCACCCCATTTTTCGTCGGGAATTTCATGCATAGGTGGTGGATGGAGGTGACGTCTCCCAATTCCTTTAGGGCTGGCCTACCTAACCGATCGACTGTCGACAACGAGGAATTCCATGAAGTTCATTGTGGTTTGTGGAGACTCCTCCATCTCTACTGCGAGTGTGATTTTTCCTCTCGGAGTGATGCTATCTCTAGTAAATCCGTACAAAGGAGTGGTGGTGGATGTTAACTCATGGTCCAGTATCATCTTGTCAAAGGTGGATTTGAATAGAATGTTGACAGAGCTACCATTGTCAACTAACATTCGTTTGAGCTCATTCCGAGCTATGACTGCTCTTACCACAATTGCATCGCAGTGGGGGTAGTGAACCCCTTCAATGTCCTTCTGGGTGAAGACAGTAGGTGGAACTTGATCTATCCGGGAGCTATGGCCCGCAATATAGCTGGTAAGCGGGGGGCGCTTGGCCTCACGGACATAATTCCTTTTAGCGTTCTGCGTTTCACCGCCTACATATGGGCCTCCAAAAATGGTATCCACCTCTTGGATAGGGGCCTCATCCTGAGCTTGTCAATTTCTTCAATGTCTGCGCCCTTCCCTGGGCCTCTTTACATCACGCTCCTTTAGACGTGAAGAAACATCCCTTTGACGAGGAGCAGCCTCTTCATGCCCATGTCGGTTACGTACCTAGGCGGGGGCCTGTTCGTCTGGGGCGATTCATTTCTGTCCCTAGGGGGTTCCTACCGGGAGTGGTGAGCGTAGTCTCGGTAATTTGCTGTGTCGTGTCCATAAGACTGGTGGTATGCACAGTATCCAGGTGGGTTCTGATTTGACCTATTTCTAGGTCCTGAACCCCGGCCTCAGCCTCTCCCCCTACGGGATCCTTGCGGAGCTCCCATCTGCTGGGTGTCAGTGACCGGGTTGATATCTTTATATGCCATTGTAGGAATGACGTTAAGAGTGGTGGTGGCAAGTGCTTGCCCAGAACTCTCATTACCAGTTTGGTTCATTTGGTAGTCCATCAAGTGGAAGGTCGGCCCTCTAGCACACTGCCTTTGAGGAGGTGGGAGGCCTCTACTTGCCTGTTCCTATGCTCAATCAATTCTCCATTGATGATCTCCCGTCTCATCATCTCGAGTAGGGTATCATAGGTAGTGGGGTCTTGATTTTGTACGTCCCTCTAAAACAAGGTGTTCATTTTCAGACCTCCTCTCAATGCAGATAATGCCTCACGGTCGGTGCCTTGTACATAATATGTCATCTCATCGGTGAAACGTGATAGGAAACTCTTTAGGGACTCTCCATGTGCCTGGCTCATGTCTTGGAGACGTTGGATGGGGGCCCCTTCCTCTTTGTTCAAAGCGAACCTTTTCAAGAAGGTCGTCTTAAATTCGGGCCAACTTCTTATACTCCCAGGTGGTAACCTACTATACCAAATTTCAGCTGCTCCGCTAAGTGTTAAGTGGAAAACTCTGCATTTCATAGCTAGGGTGGCGCCCCTTAGGCTCATGTGAGTTTTGTAAGCATTCATGTGCTTCTCTGGGTCGCTTATTCCGTCATACTTTGGTATCTTTGGCATAACATAGTGGTTTGGGACCTGGGCGCTCCTTAGTTCCCTTGAGAATGACAGGTTTTCATCATCATTGTCCAAGTCACAAGACCTCTGCTGCTCATCTGAATTGTTTTCTTCGGGCTCATACCTTGGTTGTTGGCGAGAGATTTCGGGACGGTTCCTAGCCTTTTCCTCCCTCCTTTGGCGGATATTTCTAGGCGGAGCAGCACGGGGGTATTTTCATGCCTTCCTTCCGGCTGTTAAGGTATTGGAGGTGGAGGCGGTGGCCTTTTCCAAGGTTTGTGATGTTGTTGTCTGAGCCTCGGTTCAGTGGGGCTAATTCTGTCAAATATACTACCTGACCTCCTATGTCTTTGCTCTTGCTCATACGGAGGTGGGAAGTTATCATGGTTCAAAGGGACCTTGGTGGGTCGGTCAGAGGCGTAGTTGGAGGAAACATCAACTTCCACTTTCCTTTGAAATGGGCTTCTACCTCGGCTATAGTCCGGTGAGGTAGCCCTACGGCTTTGAACTTCATCTTTTTGCTGGTAGTACCCTTAAGGGGCGTATGGAGGAATAGGGAAGCTTTACTGGCCCTGAATTTAGGCTATAAGTTCCCTCATAGCCATGTTTTGGCTAGCAATGTCTCTCATATTAGCTGCCATGGCGGCCATTTCTCTTAACAGCAGGGCAGTCGCACGCATTCCACCTCTTCTATGGTTGTGGTGGAGTCTATGCCGAGCTGCTGGGACAGTTGCTTGAGGGAGCACATTAGCATTTTCTCTTACCCTCCTGGGAGGTGTATCTTCATTTGAACTCATTTTCTTTGCGTCTTACCTTTCAAATTTTTGCGAAGTCGTGGGGCTTCTTCTTGTTCTTTTTCAAGAACAAATTATTTTTCAAGGGGGATGCTCAAATGTTCCTCTTTAATAAGCTTTCACCACAAGGTTGCTCGTGGTTATGGTATGATTTCCTACAGACGGTGCAAAATCTGTTGACCCCAGAAAATGTCGCCAACAGATGCCGAACCCACCCGTACACACGTAAACGAAAGTTCAACACGCTAAGACACGTGGACGGTCTGAAACGGACAGATCAAGGGCTTGGGAGTAGCTCAACGGCGCGGGATGAGAATGTTCGGAATCCAGCGAGATGTTTGTTAACCGATTGTACAATAATTATCAATCTATGTTTGTAAATGTGTATGTAAATATGCGTAAATTCGTATTGTGTTGCAAGACAATAAGAAAGAGAGAGTAAAGTGTGGTTTCTTGTATTGATTCTTGCATTAGCCTTTGTATGGGGTACATGGGGGAGTATTTATAGTGTCACAAGTTAGATCATGACCTTTGGTTCGGGGTACAAGTGGCCTCATCCGGTTAATTTATATGTCAAATTGTAGGCAACAGTCGCACCTAGCCTGCTATACATTTAGTGATTGGTAGAGCCGCCTCTATTAGTGATAAGATTTAACATTTACACTCATGACAAACGTCCTATCAATCATTCTAGTAAGATCTTTGTGCAGAGGATCTCTTGGGAGAAGTGTATATGAAAGATGTTGCTTTGTGCTTCGGAGGCTGCCATCTCGGCTACAGAGCTTCGGCCAATAGGGCCTCGTCCACCTTCAAAGGGCCTCGGCATATGGGTTTCGGAAGCTCCTCAAGAGGCAATGATAGATGGGCCTCGGTTTATATGGGCCGGGGCTTCTGTAGAGCTCAATTTATGGGCCTCGGCTATGCAAATCACCTCGACTTGAGTGCCATGTGGTTCGACATGAGTTGGCTATGGGCCCCGATGGGTTGCCCAAATGTGCAAACACGTAACACTATTAATAGAGTAATGATATTTATCGCAATTGATATTTCAACATGAGTTTAGATAACACTAAGTGACATTAAATAAAAGGTATTCCCATATGCGCATACGCATGCATTTCAGAACACTATTAACAGAGTAATGATGTTTAGTATTATTGGTATTTCAATACCCATCTAATTGACACTAAGTGTTATTAAATGAAAGATACAATTAAATAAATCAAATAATTTCATATTTAATTGAACCTATAAAATATAGTCACATAGGCTGATGATCTGACAACACTAGTGTTAGATGGGATTATTATATCGTTGTTTGGGCTTCATTTTAATAAGGTTTTTGAAAAATTATACTTTTGAATAATAATTATTTTAGAGAATATGTGGTTAAAAGTGAGGAAAAATTTTGAAATTATATATAATATTATTTTATTAAAAAATGTTTGGTTGAAAGTGAAGAAAGAAAAAATGTATTAAATTAAACTATTAAAGTGAGCCATTTAAGAGAACCATATTTTACAATTTATTGGACCCAAAACCCTGATTTGGGAATTTTATTTTCCTCTTTCAGCATCCCCGTTTCGCCCTGCCTCACACTCTCTCAGCCCTCTGCTAGTGGACGTTTCGATTCCGTTGGGAAATCCTCCAGTAGGTATGTTGACTTCGGTCATTAACAGGAATTTTGTTATGAATTCTTTTATCGAATTCCTACTTCCCTTCCTGCCTATGTTTCGACAATCCTGAGAATGTATTTTGTTTCAATAGTTTTACAAACGGATTGGATTAGAGTGATTGCATATTGTTATTCCAATAGTTAAGTTTCTTGCCGGCTATATAAATTTTTCGACTCGAGTTTATGTTTGATTCTCTTTATTTAAAACTTGTTTGTTGATTTCATTTTTTAATTTTTGTCGCAGAAGTCAGTGGATTTCGAAATCTGAGTGATGAATCCGTTAACATTGGTGAAGCGTATTCAAAACATCAACAAGAAAGAAGCAACGCTTGGCATATCTGAAGAGGCATCTTGGCATGCAAAATATAAAGAATCCGCCTATGTTTATGTTGGAGGGATCCCCTTTGACCTCACCGAAGGCGATCTCCTTGCAGTCTTTGCTCAGTATGCCCTTTTGTCTTTTTATCAATCCCCCAGAAATAGGTACTTTATACCCCTATTTTAGTGAAAATTTGCCTTCTAATTCAGCAGATTTTATCTTTTAGGTACGGAGAGGTAGTTGATGTTAATTTAGTTAGAGACAAAGGCACAGGAAAATCTAAAGGGTTTGCTTTTCTTGCTTATGAGGATCAAAGAAGTACAAATCTAGCCGTAGGTAAGATTATTTGCACCTTGAATCACATTTCTGTTGCTATAGAACTCGTCCATGGAGTGATGCTAACAATCTTTCCATAACATCGTATTGGTTGAATGTATAGATAATCTAAATGGAGCTCAAATTCTGGGTCGAACAATTAGAGTTGATCACGTGAGTAACTACAAAAAGAAAGAGGAAGAGGATGAGGAAACTGAGCGGAAAAAGAGAGAGGAACGGGGTATTTGTCGAGCTTTTCAAAGGGGAGAATGTAATCGTGGGGATGGCTGCAAATTCTCTCACGACGAGCAAGTAAGTTTTGGTCAACAGTACATCTATTTGATTTCCCTTTCCTGTTTAGGATTAACATGCTTTTTAATTTTTTAAATTTTGTTCTTTCATTTTTCTCTGACTCTTCTTCCTTGAACATGTCATTTTCTGATTTCTTTCACTTCTCTTCCTTGAAGAAGTCGTTTTCTGATTTCTTTCACTACAGAATCATGCATTTTGAGTGAGTGACAAATGATTGGCAGAGTGAAAGAAGTTTATCTATCTGTAGAAGGCTAGATTACTTAAATTAAGAATACCCTTTCAGTTTCTAACCTCATGATATTGGCCGTGTCTTTATTCGCACTCCCTCTATTTATTATGGACTTGAACAGTTACAAGGAAACTTTCTGTTGTATAGATGGATTGCAATGCGAAAGAATGCACTTAGTGAAGTAGGAAGGGTGAAACTTGCTAGCAGTTGTAGGGGTGGGTTTGTGAGCAACGAATCTGGTTTTCTTGACAAAGTGCTTTTAGGAAAATAATCGTGGAGGTCTACTGGTGAGAAGAATTTGCTCAGTGAAGAAATTTTAGCTGCTGAAAAGTTCAACCACCTCATGTAAACTTCTGTGTTCATTTATCATTTGTTTTCAATATGCCCCCGCATATGTAGGCTTATTTAGGCCCTGTTTGAGCCGTATTATTTAATTTGACATTATTTTAACCACAAATTCTTCAATAGAATAATATTATACGCAAATTCAAAATTTTTCCTTATTTTTTAACCACACACACTCCATCAATCTACTATTTCAGAATACATTCTTTTAAATAATGTGGTTCAAACACACACTTAATATTTTGCCTCAAGCTTTGTCACAATATTCGTAAATGGGTTGGGCCGGTGAGGGAGGGTGGTTGGGGGGTTAGAATTAAATTTAGGATATTTTCTTGCTCTTTCCTGTCATGTTGAACCGCCTCTAAAAGCATAATTGCGTAGTGAGGGAAAAATTATCTATGTGAATTTTGTCTTTAGCATGTTATATCTAGGACAGATTAATATTATCTTAGGGATTTTGTCAAAGCGAGTTCATGAAATGATCTCATGGATGGAAGTGGTGATATATAGCCCTTTGTTTGATCTCTATTTTTTCAAAACTAATTTTTCTACCATATATTCTACCATAAAATAATAATACACGTAAATCCAAAACATTTTTTTTTAAACAACACATTTTCAAAAAAATCACTATTCCAAAACTTATTTTTGACGACAGCCTCTAGGTAGACTACCACGTCTAAAATAGGAAAGGTGATATCGTATGTGAGATTAAATAGCCTTTCATAGTTGGATGGCCCACATCAACCAAGTAGTTTTTAGCTGCAAAAATATCAATTCAAATATCAATACAAATTACATGACCTTATTATTCGACCAAAATAAATAAAGTTATTTATAAATAAAAAAAACAACCATCTAATGGTTTAGGAAATTTTTAATCAATGCTTTGCAGATCCTCTAAGAATGTATGTTGTGTCATTGGTTGTTCCTTCCCACCCTGGCTATACAAAGGTGAATAACATGTCCAAATTACACATGGTCATTGTATTTGTTTAGGATTATCATTTTTTACCAATATATGGGATTTGCTTATTTGTTGGAAACAATGCGCGAATATGTGTTCCATTAATGGCTCCAATACAATCCTATCAAGAGAAAATAAAATAGAACAAAATAAAGCAAATATAATTAGAATGCATGTTCTCCAATGAAATGAAATATGATATTTCAACATTTGTTATTACCTTAAAATAAGGCCATACATGGGATTTGATCAAATATAAGGTGAATCTTCATCATAATTATCGAGTGGTCTAAATTCTTGTAATGCGGTATTAACCTTTTTTCCCTAGTACAATCCCAAATTATCTACTTATTGTTTAAATTTTGAAACCTTTCTTGAATCATCCCGTTACCAACACCGTGTCCTAAAGTTATCAAAAACATGAATATTGCCTCTTCTAGTTGCATCCTTTACTTGAACCCAACCCATAACTTCTTAATCCGTCACATAATTTGGTAAAGACATGTTTTTCCATTCAAAACATCTCATGCCATCATTTCCACAGAGTATCTCCATAAGGAAATTCATTTCTCTATGGGAGGAATTTCTGCTTGGTTCTTTTACCAAAAAAGTGCTATGACGTCGCACAATTGTAGCTGCTGTGGTAAGGACAAGTTCATCAAAACCTGTTTCATCTCTTATAACCTGATTTATGTATTCTACATGTAGCTTTTCATCTGATTCACCGTCCATTCTGTAATCATATAACCATGAATAATTCACCAAAATATAATTTCATCAATTTAGAGGACAGTACATATTAACACATTTTGTGGAACGTATAAACTCCCTTTCCATTCAAAAAGAGTTATTCAAATAGGCTTCACATGTATCAATTAGAATAGCCTTCCATCTTTCTTGAAATTTCAGAATAATTGTGTCTTAGCAAAAATATGTAGTGTATTGACTCCCTGTACAAAACTACCATCCAAAAAAACCTGCATAAGTTTTTCCTGGTTCCACTTTCAATACTCTCCCTGTCTGCCTCACTCAAATCAGGATACATGTGTGGATCCAATAAGCCTTTTTTGGGACTTATTCCATTTTCAAGCTTTAAGGTGAAACACATGCCTATTCCATATAAAATTGTTTCTTCCATTCTCGGACAGCTGCGACCAAATCCTAGAAATGGTTTGCTTGGGGGGCTCTCGAGGACAACATAAGCAGTTTCAACAGTTATGGTAAATTAAGCACGTTTCTGTCCTAGTATCTTCATTCTAGTAGGTTAGCAAAAGCCACGCTAATTTTGCATTAGTGGCCTTCTCCTAGTGTTTTCCTTTGCTATCGAACACACAAAAATAATGAGAATATTCGTATATTTTCCTCTTCAAAACCAACATAGAAGCATAATCGTAAACGGGAGCACATCCTATAAAATCTTGGCAGAGGCACTTGCTTGATCTAATAAATGTATAATTTGGGATTTTCTAAATTCAATTTAAATGAAACAGAACATTAATATCACGAGAATTCAGAGCAACAAAAAACACGTCAAATAGTCAGTTAGCATTTAAAGTTTCCTTGCTTAAAACAAATAAAATTGAAATGACAAATTCCTGGTTTTATGGCTCACATTGACAGTTTTAGAACGTATAGTGATAAATATATTTTAAAAAAAGATTGCATCATACCAATCGGATGCAATTGAAAGATGAAACTGCCTTCTTCGCTTCCTAGCATTAATGGGGTTGTGCTATGTACAAAGTAATATGCCAATTTGGAGAAAAATGAATCATAATCGTTTAATTTCTCATGACGTTGATGAAAAATGATAGCATAAATAATTCAGAAGAAACAAAATGCTTCAAAATCATGAAATTGTACATTGGTGATGAAATTCTGAGCTAGGGTTCGTCCTGAAAGTTCCCAAGAGCTGAAGCTGATTGTAGAGATGTGAGGAATGCGAGCATGAAAATCAAGAAAGAGACTAGGGATGGAAGAAATGAAGAATTGGGAAGGTCATGATTTTTAGGATTGGATTGGAATTTTACTTTGTTCTTTACAAATGCAAGGGTAAGGTTGGAATTTTTAAATTTCATTAAACTAGAAAAACGACTTCCCATTTTCTTGTGGAAGCTTTTAGAGGAAGTCCTTTGGATTAGCTTTCTCTAAAATCTCTTCTAACTAGTTGAAACACTTTTAAATTAACCAAATGGGTCCTAAGCACTTTTGGGTCTCAAAAGCATCTTCTGGCTCCTCAAAAGCCATGCCAAACAGGCATTACAAAATCACCTTTAGTTCATGCAATTTGCTAAATTTTGCTTTTGAGTCTTAAGAAGGTGTGAGATTTTTCATCGCATCTATAATTCACATCTTTTAAACTATTCATTCTTTTAAACTGTCATCTATTGTTGAACCATGGTAGATCAGGAAGGTGCCAAACTTCGTGACTTTTCATTTATGTTCTTATAGGCTTTAACTGTCAACTATTTTTGTACGCAGCATGGTATTTCAGCAAGTTACCAAATTTGTGATCTTTTCTTTGTAATGTGACTAAAGACTGCAGGTGAAAACATGCTTAGACCATGCTAGTTCTGTAATTTACTGTACTGTGAAAGGAGAAAAATTGTTAACCAAGCATTTCATTCATATTCATCAATTATCATCTCCTTTGAAATTACTGTTGGAAATTTATTGTTGAAAATCAAAGAAAAAAATTGGGGGGGGGGGGGGGGGGGGGTTAGCGTAGCATTTTAATTTGCCTTGCCAATTTTGTTTGAATCACGTTGTGATAGAGACATTTTTTCTGTATAATGGCTATTGTCAGCTTATGTTATTGCACATGAGAATATGTAATACCCTATTATCTCTCGACTCACTTGCCCTTTATCAAAAATTCAGAGAGCCGCAAATACAGGTTGGGGAGCTGAAGAAGATAGACAATCGAGGTGGGTTCGAGACAAATTCGAGGGTTCAGCAAGGGGTGGAAGACGATCTGATCAGTCTAGTCGCGTGCCAGAATCTGTCACTCAGAGAGGGCACAGATATACTGACAAAGATTCACATAATTCCCCAGCAAAGTTCGGTGACACGGACAGGAAAAGATCCAGTGAAAGGATTGAATCAAATGCACAAGATTTGGACAGAAGAGGTGTTGAGAAACACAGGGAGAATGTAACGAAGCACAAGGATGACTGGGATAAGATAGATAGTGATAAAAGGTCAAGGAGGAATGACGATGAACCAAAGTCGAGAAGAGATTACGATAGGGGAGATGAAATGAGATCAAGACGATATGAGTCTGAGTCATATCATAAAGAAGATCGATATGGCAGGAGAGTTGATGGTGGGTCAGCTCGTGATAGTTCGCACCACCATCAGAGGACAGATGAAGAAAGGCAGTATCAATCACGTCGACGATAACTTTGATTATATCAGTTACACTCAAATACGTCGGAGAAATGTTATTTGTTTTTCTTTTTAATTTTTACTGAGATTTCAGTAGTAATTATGAAGGATTATAACAAGCATGTGCCCTTTTTCTCTAGTTTAAAATTTTGATGGTGAATTCCCGACAAAATCATTGCACAACTACCTGAATATAACTTAGGTACAAGAACCAGACCATTAAAAAATTTTAATCAATCATATATAATCCTAGTTAGATCCTGAAACTGAAATGCCCTTTGACTTCACCAACCAGATCATTTAAAATTTTTAATTTCCAATTAATGAGAATAAAATATATCTATTGAGAGCATTTACCCATTGAAACAACATAGAGTAATAATGTACTGGTTGAACTTGTGAGTAACAGTTATAGATCGACTCAAACTCTAATCATTGATCTCGATATAGTTTGATTAATATAGGAAGCTTATACATATATATTAAAATTTTTGTTTAATATTATCTTTAAAGAGGATTTAGCAGCATGCAACTAAAAAATCGAAAGTAGTTGCAATTTTTATTATTATCCTTGCATTTTGTTTATGATTTATAATTATCAGTAGTTCTAAATTCTATCTTTTAAAATGATTTAGATTATCATGATAGTAAACCATTCCAATCATATTTTAGTTCGAGTGAAAGACTGTAGCCTATAAATGCAGGGCATAATTATCTTCCACTGATACACTAAATTTACAGTGGAAATGGCAAAGATTATAATCACAATTTTGTTTCTTTGCCTGTATGTTTGTAATGGTGACAGAGCGATCGAATCAGATGTAGGGAAAATGAAGAATGGTCATCAGCTTATGGCTCATGGAGATGACTGTCGATCTTTAGCTCATTATTCCTATATTTGTGGTCTTGCATGGGGTGGAACTGATAACGCTGACAAGACAATTTTAAATACTGCTTTTGACGATTGTTGTGATGCAGCGAATCGAGTTAGCTATAAATGTATAAGAGTGCATCATCATTGGGACATATATTATCTTCAAAAAACATGCAACTATGCTTCTTCTTCATGCTTAAAAGCACCTGCTCCGTCGCCTTTAATTATTCCTTCAGTTCCTACTTCCCCGACGCCAATTCCTCAACCACCTTCAGTGTCTCCTCCTCCTCCAACTCCTGAACAACCGTCTCCAATTCCTCAACCACCTCCAACTCCTGGACCACCATCTCCAATTTCAGTTTCTCCTTCGCCGTCTCCAATTCCTCAACCACCTCCAACTCCTGCACAACCATCTCCAATTTCAGTTTCTCCTTCTCCGTCTCCAATTATTCAACCACCTCCAACTCCTGAACAACCATCTCCAGCGCCTCAACCATCTCCTGACCAGCCACCATCATCTCCTCCTCCGACTCCTGGACCACCATCTCCAATTTCAGTTTCTCCTTCCCCGTCTCCAATTCCTCAACCATCTCCAATTTCAGTTTCTCCTTCGCCGTCTCCAATTCCTCAACCACCTCCAACTCCCGAACAACCATCTCCAATTTCAGTTTCTCCTTCCCCATCTCCAATTCCTCAACCACCTCCAACTCCTGAACAACCATCTCCAGCGCCTCAACCATCTCCTGACCAGCCACCATCGTCTCCTCCTCCGACTCCAAATCCTTTAGTTCCTCCACCACCACCACCAAATCATCCTATCAGACCAAAGAATTGTTTAGTAGCTGTCGTACGGTATGACTCGTGTGATCCAAAGGCACCAGATACAAGTCATTCACTTGCGACTCCTTATGAAAAACAATTCATTCCATCAGAAAGTGGTATAGCCAAAATAAATGCAGCTGACTGCTGTGTAGCTTTGTCAATCATCGATAATAAATGTGACGACTTGGTTAAAGATATGTCTTACGCTAAGCTGAGAGAATTTTACCGGCTAGAGCAAGCTTGTTCATCACCCTACGGGGAGGAAGCAAGGACATAATATTTAATTTTTTTGTTTCATTTCTTCAGGAATTTGATTTAGGTATTTATTTAGGACCAGTCTCTAGTTTCTAGTTCTTTTTCATTTTCAAATTCTTCAGTCATGATCAGTGCCTTGTTCTATATTATCTTGTTCATTTGATTATATTTTATATTTTGATTTCCGCGTGGCCACTTGAATTTTGATCTTCTTCTTCTTATTATTTTCCATTACTAAGAAAGAACCACTGCTGCTGCCCATAACTCGAGAGAAATTTACAAAACAAATTAAAAAAAAAATTCATTTAATTTCAGAATCCCGTTTGCACTTTTTATTTCATTCTTCGGTTTCTAAATACTGCAATTAATGCATCAAGGACTAAAGCCGAAGATGAATAAAATAAACTAAAAATCTTCATACAAACATTTTGATTTGGTGGCTAAGTTTAACCTTACTTTTACAATTTGATTCCCTTGGATTAAATCAATTATCACATAGAGAAAAGAATCCCGGTCTAATGAAATAACTTTGATTTAGAGGCATTAATTATATGTGTTCATCAACTAGAATTTAATTTTGGCATTCCCATTTTTAGGGATGGACAAAATATCTAGACCAAACCAGAACCAAACTAAATTGAGCAGTTCGATTCGATTCCACAAAAAAAAAGAAAAAAAAAAGAATGGTTTTGGTTCTTCGTACTGAGAACCATTTGGTTCTGGTTCAAGTTTGATTCTAATTCTAGAACCAAGAATCAAACTTAATTTATAATTTTATTTTTATACGAATTTTATCTTTATACGAATTTAATCTTGTATTAATTGAAACCAATCCAATAGTCATTATTTCTATATATTACTCCAAATTCAAACTCTCAAGAGTCCCAAACATTGCCCTGCATATCCCGCAAAACGAAGCAGTGGAGTATTAAATACTGCAATTAATGCATCAAGGAATAAACCCTAAGATGAATAAAATACACTAAAAATCTTCATACAAACATTTTGATTTGGTGGCTAAGTTTAACCTTACTTTTACAATGTGATTCCCTTGGATTAAATTAATTATCACATAGAGAAAAGAATCCCGGTCTAATGAAAATAAATTTGATTTAGAGGCATTAATTATATAACTAATGTGTTCATCAACTAGAATTTAATTTTGACATTCCCATTTTAGATAATATGTCACCAAAATTCCAATTGATGAAAAACAATTTGTCCTTCAATCATTATGAGCTGCAGCCTGCCATCTTAATTTCCATCAATGTCTCCATTAGGATTTTTAACTTTTGCTATTTGCTGAGATCGATTTGATAGGATTTCCGATGAATTTATTGAACTTTTCATAAAAAAAATACGATGACAAAAACATCAAACTATAATTTTGTTCTTTATAAATATGAAAATTATAGGTTTAGCTATGATTGAGCAAAAAATTAATAGTAGCCTCTCTTTTTTATGGTTTTGATTTATGTCAACCTCAAGATTGGACTGAGATTCATCTATGCTAAACAATATTTGATAACTTTTGTATCGTTTCAAGCTACGTACGTTTGGTGAGGGAAATGGTAGAGGGGAGTTCCATTTCGGGAGGTGGACCTCATTTAAAAGAGTAACTCAAGTCTTTATGCATTATATATTTATTTTGTATTATTCGATGTGGAATTTTCTCTTAATAGAATGAGAGATGGCACTCTGCTACAGAATGAACAAACAGAATTAGGATGGTTCGAGTTCAACCATACAATCACATAAGCTCCACTGGTGAAACTCGATTTTCACTCATTAAAGTTCGAATACAGATTATAAAATAGAGACTGAAAATCACATTCTATGTTGTAAAAAAATATGGAATCCATCGAAAACTACTTAACAATCAACCAAAATTATACTTCTTAGTTCCAAATTTTTTGAAAGAAAGAAATTAGCTGAAAAGTGACAATTAATAGCGTTTTGAGGAAAGGATGTTTCCATAAAAACAAAATTTAAAATAAATTATTTCAAAAAATACTCTTAATTTTTTTTTCTTAATTACAAAATACTATGCCAACTACATCGTCGTCATCATCATCATCATCACTGCTAACGACCACCTATCCAGTCACCTCTCACCACTACCTTGCCGCCCATCATCACCAATATTTAGTGAACTTACAGAAAACCAATATAAACTTAATTAATTGAGGTGTTCTTCAGAAAATATGTTGGAGTAGGAGCATTGGTAGTCCATATTCAACGACATTCTACAATTCCGTAGAGATTAATGTAATTTGTTAACGTTAATTAACTTAGTTTTCTTCCATGATAAATTGTATAATGTGTCTCCCGCGGTGCTGGAACTCTAAATTAACAGAAAATTATAGGGTTAAAGTCGAATATTATTTATGATAAGTATGAATGATTAAGCATGATAATGTTAGGTGGAATTTAAACTTGGATGAACTTTTATCTTAAAGTATGATAATCCTAAAGTATGATTAAGTTGATGAATACTTGAGACGTTATATTCAACCTATATATATATATATATATATTTTCAGTTAAAAAGGAATAGAACTTGTGTTCCTTTTTAATTTTTTTTATTAAAAAAGAGAGAAATCTCGTAAAGAAGAAAGAATATGAAGTAATTTATTTTTGTGAGGAATCAGATTATGATTTGATAAAATCAACACTTGGAAATTCTATCCTCTTAAATGATTTGATTATCATGTCAACAAACCATTCTAATCGGTAAAAATGGCCAATAAAAACTTAACTCTATTGAACTCTATAAATACCCTGCATGACTTAATTTGTATTGCTACAATTACAATACTTTCTTTAGACATGGTAAAGGTCATAGTAACCTTATTATTTCTTAGCATATTCATTTCATTTACTCAAGGAGTCGACCCTCAATCAGGTCATGAACTTGAAGGTCATCACCCCGACTGTTCAGCTATACCTACTAGGTTTAGTAATTGTTACTCTGCATTGTACAAGCATTACACTTCTCTCGCGTTTGCAAAATGTTGTCAAGTTGTGAATTTGATGACCAATTGTAAATTCGAGTTCCTCATACCAGCCGATAGATCTATAACTCGAGCATTTAAGAAGTCGTGTCGCAAACACTATCATCCACCGCCCTTGGCACCATTAGCACCACCTAAACCATACCCTCCAACGCCTGAAAAACCGTCTCCAATGCCTCAACCGCCTTCATTTCCTCCTCCAACGCCAAATCAACCGTTACCAATTCCTCAACCATTTTCTCCGTCTCCAACACCAGATCAGCCGTCTCCAATTCCTCAACCACCTCCAATTTCACCTTCTCCGACACCAGATATACAATCTCCAGTACCTCAACCACCTTCAGTTCCTCCTCCAACTCCCGAACAACCATCTCCAAGGCCTCAACCGCCTTCAGTTCCTCCTCCAACGCCAAATCAACCGTTACCAATACCCCAACCATTTTCTCCCTCTCCAATTCCTCAACCACCTCCAATATCTCCTTCTCCAACACCAGAGTTACAATCTCCAATACCTCAACCGCCTTCAGTTCCTCCAACTCCCGAACAACCGTCTCCAAAGCCTCAACCGCCTTCAATTCATCCTCCAACGCCAAATCAACCATTACCAATACCACAACCAATTTCTCCTTCTCCAACACCGGATATACCATCCCCAATACCTCAACCGCCTTCAGTACCTCCTCCAACTCCCGAACAACCATCTCCAACACCTCAACCGCCTTCAATTCCTCCTCCAACTCCCGAACAACCATCTCCAATGCCACCTTCAATGCCTCCGCCACCACCTGTTGACATAAATCATCCTCTCTGGCCCCAGGATTGTTTATATCAATATGTAATTTATGACAGTTGTGATCCATTACCAGGCACAACGAATTCGGGGGTCAATAATTTTGGAAAACAATTGTTTGCAAGCTGGGGTGTAAGTGTAACTGAAAGTGAAATGTATTTCCATGATGCTGCTGGATGCTGTATGGGTGTAGCAATCTTTAGTAATTGTGGTGATCCTAGCGGCTTCAAGAGAGATTGGAATTCCAATTTTGAGAGATATTATAACAGTTTAATGAGTGGTTGTCAATAAATTTGATCTCTTTTCTTTCCTGATCCATTTAGTTGGGTATTTGATTAGGTTTTCATCATGGATCAGGTCTAGTTTGTCATTTATTTTCAATTCAATCAATTTTTTTTTTTTT